GCCTGCCTACACCCTCATCCTGCCCCCATCCCACCTGCTCCAAGGAGACAGATGGGGTAGGTGGAGTGGGGTGTAGTGATGAAGAGAAAGAAGCCTCGTTAGCGGCACCTTCTCACCAAGGAGGCAGAATAGGTACAAACGCACGTGTTCAGAAGTGCACAGCGTGGGAAGTTCCTGTGTGTCCACCTTCCAGAGGAAGTGTCCATCCCTGCTAAGAGCCGGGTGGGCTGCGCCTGTGTCAGGCTCTGCTGGGAGGACCTTATGTGGTTTGACTGTCTAGTCCCTCCAGCAGCCTTGGGGGTCTGTGCCCTTGTTATCTCTACCGTGTGGACGAGGAAACTGAGGTGAGGAGGGGGACGTTGACTCACCCAGGGACCCACAGTCATGATGGGGCTGAGGTGGAAAGTCTGGTGTTTGGTTCCTGAGGCCACCTTGCGCCTTGCATCCTGCGTGCCTTCCTGCACTTGGCATTTGGCCTCCATTAGCACCTTTCCCCCTGATTGGTTTTTCTGTGCATGGGTTATTAAATGCATACCTCCTTGTGCCCTGAAATCTAGGACGTTGTGCCCTGTAAGGCCCCTTATTGATCCCGTAACTTTTCCTAAAAGGATGCTATAGATGAATTTTATGCAGGAGGCTTGGGCTGAGTAGCATTTCAGTGAAGTTTCTGTGAAAAAATGAGCATGTGGTAGAGCTGAGTTGATGTGGTGTGTATTTGTGTTTCAGCAAAGCAGTCACACTGTGAGTTCTTCTGGGCAGTGGGCCTCTGTCACCAGGTGCTCAGGATGGCGCCAGCGGCTGGAGCCTCTGAGGCTGGGGGCTGCGGTACCTCCTGCGCCTGAGCTGCTGGTGGAAGAACTGCTGTTGTCCCTGTTGCACAGAAGAGGACACTGGGCCTTGAGAACACTGAAAATTGGGGAGCAGGGACCTAAATCCAGTTTCCCTAACTCTAAAAGCTGTGTGGCGCCGTGCAGTGGTGAAGCCAGGTCACTTGGGGTTGTGTCTCTGCTGTGTATTTTTTGGTCAGGTGGTAGGGGACGGTCATGTCACTTGTGTGCCTCGGTTTCTTTATGAAGAGATAAGAACGCCTACCTCATTGTGTTTTCCCAGGATGGTTCGGTTTGTAGGTATGGAGCAGTAAGTGGGCTTGGCACACGGCAGTGCTGCCTAGCTGTTTGCTGTTGTAGTTATTCATCATGTGAACCATCACTGTCGCACTGGACTCCTGTTGTGACCGTTAGGTTGTTTCCAGACTTTTCCTATTCTAGCAGTGGTACCTGTGGCACAGTTACATTCCGCTGGGGGTCAGGTGACATTTGGTACTGTCTGAAGACATTTTTGATGGCCACACTGGGGGAGACTGTGTTATTGGCTTAGTGAATAGGGACTAGAGATGCTGTCTAACCTCCTGTGGGGCAGAGGACAGCCCCACGCAGCAGGAATGACATGGCCTAGGCGTCACTGATGGCGAGGTTGAGATCCCCCTTGGAACTGTCCTCTGGCCCACCTCTCCGTAGGAAAATTTCCTCCAAGCACGTGTATATTTTCTGTTTCGTCACTTTTGCCAAATCGCCCACACAAAACATGGATTAGTTTATAGGGTGGTCAGTGGCCAGTGGCCTGTGAGGGAGTTGCTTCCCTCTTCTTTCGAATTCCCCTCAAATTCCCATAAGCGCATGCTACCTGTCATTTCCAGGTTTCTGCCTTTGGATTTACCTCCCGAGCAGACCCTCCTGAAGGAGCTGTGGCAGGATCAGGTCAGAAAGGAGGTGACAGGCTCCAGTGGGCTCGCTGCCAGGGCTTCGGCAAGGCTCAGCAGTACCAGGAAGGAGCCCCAGCTCCCCGGTGCCACCTCCAGAAGGTACAGGTCTGCTTCCTGCTGCCTCCCTGAGCCCATCTGTGCTGTCTGGCATTGAAACCAGGTCAGTGAGGAGGCGAGCGAGGACTCAGTGAGAGGCAGGGACAGGAATGGAGCTTTTTTTGAGCTGTTGCTGGGCCCAGGGCTTCACTGCACACATGTTCATTTCACAGATTTTTTTTTTTCTTTTTTCTTTTTGTGGTAGTGGGGATTGAACCTAGGGGCTTAGTGCTGAGCTGTATCCCCAGTCTTTTTTAAACCAGGCATGGTGGCACATGACTGTAATCCTGGTACTTGGGCGGCTGAGTTCAAGACCAGCCTGGGCTTCATAATGAGTTCAAGGCCAATCTGAACTACATAGTCTTGCAAAAACAAAACTGAAAAAATTTTTTTCTTTTCATTTTAAAAAGTTTTAGATAGGGTCTTGCTAAGTTTCCTAGGCTGCAGTTGAACTTGTGATTCTCCCGTCTCAGCCTCCCAAAGTGCTGGGATTACCGACATGCACCACTGCACTCACCTTTCCAAGATTTTATTTTTTTGGTAACCGGGGATCAAACTTGGGTTCTTGCGCTTGTGAGGCAGGCAGTGGATCCACTGAGCTAAATCCCCAGTCCTCCAAGATTTTTATGAAGTGCCCACAATATACCCACCTCTGTGAGCTTTAGGGATCCAGCAGTACTCAAAATAGGCATCAGTCTCTGCCTTCATCATGATGACGTCATAGGGCAGAAATTAGTGATAAACAAATTAGTGCATACAGTCATGTCTGTGCTGATGAGTCTTCGGAAGAAGAATAAAGGAAAGGGTGACGGGGTATGGCAGGAGATTAGGAAGCTCAGAGAAAGTGCCGCTTGAACAGAGCTGGTCTTGCTCCCCCTGTGGAAGCAGCACAGGCAGGGCAGCTAGGCTGGAGCACCCGCGGGAAAGCGAAGGGGAGGTAGATGGTGGGATTCATAGGCTCCTCTCAGGACCTTGGCTTTCATCCTGAGTGATGGGGCTCAAGATCATTTATTGGAGGAGGGAGGTTCTGATTTTATGGTCACAGAACCCAGCTTAGAGGAAGGTATGGACCTAGCCCTAAGGTCCAGCTGGATCTCACAACCCCGTAAGTGGCAGGAACCACAGTGACTCTTGTTAATACAGATGAGTGCACTTAGCTGCTTCCCTGGGCTGCCCAACGAGGACAGGTGGTCATCTGAGGGCTCCTCTGTTCCCCTCTGCCCTAGAGCTACCATTTAGGCTCTACAGTGTCATGGGGATTTCCTCTTGGGGGTTTGAACCCAGGCTGTGAGATGTAGCTGTGGGGGGAGAGGGGGTTAGTTTGGAAACCAATGAGAAATACCATGGGCCCGACAAATGGAAATAAAAATGTCACAAATAAAATTTAAAGTAATGTACTATAGGACTGGGGATTTAGCTCAGTGGTTTTGCTGTCTGCCTCGCAAGTGCGAGATCCTGAGTTCGATCCCTGGTATCAAAAAATAAAAAAGTTAATGTACTGTAGAGCGTTTGAGACATAAGGATAGGTTAGTCAGTGATACTCAGGTACTTAGCAGTTATTTAAAAATACCTCACCATGGGCTGGGGATTTAGCTCAGTTGTTCTGCCACTGCCTCACAAGAGTAAGGTCCTGAGTTTGATCCCTAGTACCGGAAAAACAAAAATGAAAAGCCAGATGTGGTAGTGCATGCCTGCAATTTGAACACTTGGAAGGCTGAGGCAGGAGGATCGCAGTGAGTTCAAGTCCAGCCTGGTCTACACAGCAAGTGTCTTAAAAAACTTAAAAAAAAAAAAGCAGGCCTTTAGCTCAGTGGTGCCTCACCTACCTGGCAAGCGCAAGGTCCCGAGTTTGATTCCCAGTACTGAAAAACAAAAACAAAAACACCTCACCAGTACAGTGAAGCTTTGGGGACCCTTCTCACCCACCAGTTGATCCCTGAGTGTCAGTGGGGCTGGAAGCTGCCCCCCTTCTCCAGTGGGTTATTGTACGGGAAGGTGCCCCTGGGGTGTCACTAACCTGAGGACATGGCCAAGAAAGAGTAGGGTCCAGGACTGAAGCCCAGATGCCCTGGACTCTGCTGTCCTCCTCCTCACTCCATGCCTGCAAGGGGTGCCAGCAGTGGCAGGTGGCAAAGCCCTGCTTTGGGCTTGGGGAGGCCCAATTTGGGATCCTCCCAGTCATCTGAACTCCCAACGTGGGTTCTTCTGTAGTCTCTTTTCCTCTTATAAGATAGAAGGACACATTAAGGACATTTTCTGCAGGGCAGCAGACACCTGTGAGACCATAATGGAATATTGTTCATTCCCAAAAACTCCTGTCCCTCTATTACTCCCAGACATAACCACCTCCTGCCTTTGTGCTGTTTGTTTCCCTTGATTTTTCTGTAGTTTGATGAGCAGGAAAAGCATCTGTTTTGGTCTTCTGTGAGCAAGCTCATCCTCGCTCTGTCATTTCACGTCTGGTTTCATTCTCTTCATGCCCTTCTGCTTCCTCCCTGTTGTGTGTACAAGCAGTTTGGTCCTATTTGTTGCTGTATTGCATTCCATTCTGTGTATGAATTTACCAGTTTCTTCTGCTTTTCTCCTATGGATGGACTCTTTGACCAGTTTGGGAGTCATTGAGTATTGTTCCTGTGAACTTTCTCGTATGTATCTTTTGGTAAACAAATGTGCTAATTTCTTTTGGGGGACCGTAGCATTGCTGGGATATGGGGTAGGCATATAATGAGTTTTAATTCTTACTGCCAGTTTTCCATAGTTGTTGAACTATCTAATTCTTCCACCAGTAGGAGTTTTTGGTATCTCTACAGCTTTGCCAACCCTTGTTTTCTTAAAAAATTAAATCCTAGTTGTGCTAAGCAGGTGGTTCTAATCTGCATTTCCCTAAAACTAGTGAGCTTATGTGCGTTCCTTAATCCTTTGAGTGTCCTGTGAGATGCCCTTGTTCTTTTCACCTTGCCTCCTGGGTGGCTCATATCTGGTCAGTAGTTGTAGCTTTAGCCCAGCCCTCTGTGCCCTCAGGCCTGGCACCCTAGGAAGCAGCAAGTGGGGATGGGGCCAGACAGGGGCTGTCCGCTGCCAGAGGTGTTGCCTGCGGGGCACCCGGGTTATGCCTGGGTTCCTGAGGCAGGTCTCTGTCTTCCTGCCTGGTGTCCTTAGCCTGCAGCTCCCCAGTGGGCAGGCCATCCTCTTGGCTGCACTGCCTGGTATTTCATCACTGCAGGACTACGTCACAGACACCTCGGCCGAGGCGCCACCCTCAGTGGGAGGACGGAGCAGGATCCAGGCAGACAGAGGGGATCTTCCAGTTCCTCCCCTTGCTCTTGCCAGAGCTGCTGCCGACTTCTCATTTGCTGAGAGGAGACCATAAAAAGTGGCAGGCTGAGCTGGGCCAGAGCTTCTACCATTGTCAGCTGGGAGACCCAGGTAAATGGCTTCCCTGCTCGGAGCCTCTGTCCTCCTCTGTCCACAGTCCTGGACCCTCTGGAGGGGTGTTGGGACTGCTGGCATCCTGCCCAGCTGGCTGTGGTTTTCGGACTCTGGAACCCTGACTACTCTCAGCCACACCTGGGTGCCTTCCCTTAGCTTTCGAATAATGATTGCCATGTGCTTGGTTGTTGACTGGGCGCCAGGCAGTGGGCTGAGCCCTGTGCCCACAGTGGGTACTTAAGTGCTGCCAATAACCTTGGTGCTGCTCCAAGGCTTCGAGAGGTGATGCCACTGGTCCAGTGAAGGCAGGGAAGACCTAAGATTAGATCCTGGGCCTCTGTTCTATTCCTTCCTTGACTGCCCTTTTTCTTCTTCTTTTTCTTTTTTTTTCAAGACAGGGTCTCTATAGTTCAGGTTGCTGTGAACTCACTATGTAGTCCAGGCTGGCCTCAAACTTGGAGCAATCCTCCTGCCTCAGCCTCCTGAGTGCTGAGTTATAGGTGTGCTGCCACCACACCCAACTTCAGCTGCCTCTCTGTGGACTCCATGTCTCCATTTCAGTTCTTCAGCGAGTACTTGAAACTGAACTGGTAGCAGGGGAAAGTGTGGTGTCAGACTCCGACTTCTGCCACAGCCCAGAAGGTCATCGTGTTCTTTCCTGGCTTCACTAGAACCCAGCTCCTTCCCCTCTCCGGTGGTTACTCTGGGTGTCTGCTCATATCCTGTGGGGGGTATGTGTCCTGCAGCTCACAGTGCCGCATGCCCTGCCAGTCTTTCCCCTTACTTTGTTTACCGTGCAGCACCTTTTAACTACCTGATGTCCTGTGTGTGTGTGTGATTCTGCCTTCCCCGCCCGAATACGAGCTTCAGAGCCTCTGCCACTAGCCCCCAGCACGGTGTCTGCAGCTCAGGACACGGAGAAGATGGTTGGCGTGATAGAATGTCCGAAGCTGGCTGGCTGGGGAGCCTTGGTCGTTCACTGGGCTCAGCAGGGTCAGGGCCTTGCCTGTCTGCTGAATTGGCATTGATTGGTGTGGAGGGAGCTGTCCTGGGAGGTGCACAGAAGCACCTGGTGCAGCCCGAGATCCTGAGATGAGAGGGCTTCCTGGAGAAAGCACTGGTTCACTGAGACCTCCTGGAGGAGGGTGAAGAATGCACAGAAGGTGAAGAGGATGGGAGGGTGAGGGGTCTGAGTGCCAGATGCCCACTGTGGAGAGTGCTATGGGGGACGGGAGACCGAAGAGGCGTTCTAAGCACCGTCGTGGTCTTTTCCTTTACTATCAGGCGATTGTGACAGCCCACACAGGGCCTCCTCAGCACAGGAAGGACTTTGTTCTGTGTCTGCGCGTGCTGGGGAGCCATGGAAGGCTTTTGACAGAAAGGGACAAGGTCAGATTTAGGTGGAGTTGGGGGTCAGGAGCAGAAGCTGGAAGCCCAGGGAAAAGGCCGGGGTGTGTGTTGAGAGGCCATTAGGAGGCCCAGCTGAAGGCTGTGGGGACAGAGCCTGAGCAGTAGTGGGAGTTGCGCAGGTTGAGAGAGTAGCAGGCAGCGGGAACAAAGGGCTGGGTCCTAAAAGGCTGTTACCGCTAAGCTGAGGAGTTTGACTTTTTCCCAAGGAGAGTGGAGAGCCGTGGAAGGGTTTCGAGCAGGGAAGGATATGGTCAGATTTGAGGGTCGCTTTAAGTCTCAAATTTAAGAAAATTTGGAGCCCAGGGAGGAGGCAGAGCAAGACCTTACTGGCCAGGCCTTCTGTAGGGTGGGAAGGGGAGGGGTGTGGGGTGTGGCCCCGAGCCAAGTCTTGTGTGTTGCGGGTAGGCAGAGCCATGCCTGCTGGCAGGGGACGCCCCTTATTGCTCTTCCTTGTCCCCAGTTCTTGCCTGTGCAAAACTTGGAGTCCAAAATGTGATTTCTCAGCCTTCCGTTTACTTCTCCGTTGCTGTCCCTCTTGCCTTTCCTCTCGCTTCCTCCCATTTACCTCCCTTCCTTCTGCCCAGGGTGTGGGCAGCCTGCCACTGTCACATGCCAGGCAGTGGTGTGTCCAGCCCACCAGCTCCCCTGGGGCACGAGAGAAAGCTGATGCCCAGGGTGTCCCTAGAGCCAGCTGCCATTTCTCTGGGGGCCACCGTTGCTCCTGACCTGCTGTCCGCAAATAACCTCAGACTGGGAGAGACGAAAGGCGCCTGGGGCTCCACAGCCTCAGTCCAGGGCCCAGGCTCCAGGTAGGGGCCCAGCTGGCAGCTGCCCTGCGCCCTTCTCCCTTCTGCTCTGGGAACCTGAGACGCAGCAGCCGCCTCGGCGTCTGTCTGTCGGCTGCTTGTTCCTGAGGACAGAAGCAGAGGTCTTGGGGAAGGGACCAGGGCCGTGATCAAGTCCCCAGGACTGGCTTCTAGGCCCCAGACAAGTACATACACAGTAGGTTGCTCATCAGGATTCCGAAGCCTGAAGCCTCTGACACTTATCTTTCCTCAGTCATCTGGTGGAGGCAGGGAGGGAATTGAGAGGCTGAAGAAGTGACTGCAGGCTCAATGGGGAGAGAGGATTTGGGGGTGGAGGAGGGAGTGGAGTGTGTGTGTGGGGTGGCTGAAGGTAGCAGGTTGGTGGCTTCTTGGTTTAGAAAGGAGGGAGGGATGAGAGTGCGCGAGAGCATGCGCACGCGCACATGCATGCAGGCACATTGGGGGCAGGCAGATGCTGGTGGCTTTGAGCACACCCTCACTCTTGAGTGCCTAGGGCTGTCTGATTCATCCAGGGTTACCTCTGCACCCGGGCATGGGAGTGAGTCAGGGGCGGGCCTGCAGCTACCTTGACTGGGAGGGAGACTGAAAGGAGGGGCCTGAGAGGAGAGTTTGGTCGCCTATAGGCTAGGGAGCTCTGCTTCCCCCAGATTGGGGTCTCTTTGGACCTAGCTGTGTCTGCCTTGGGACCCCCGCTAGGCGTCCCCCGCACCCTGCCCGGTGCTGGAGCTAGTGGAGTGGAGCTGGGTTACCTGAGGGAAGGGGCCAGGGTGGGTCCCTCCTATTCTGACAGGCTCTTCTCTTGTCTTACAGACTATACTCTGTCTATAGCACCTCCTGCATGTCCGGCTGCCCTGAGCTGTCCCAAGGTAGGTGACAGTGTGTCACGCTGCCACCATGAATGAGGTGTCTGTCATCAAAGAAGGCTGGCTCCACAAGCGCGGTAAGGGGCAGCTTTTGCCCACCTCACTGGGTCTCCTCTCCCCCTCAGTTCTTTTTTTTTTTCTTCTTTAAGACGGGGGTCTTGCTTTGTAGTCCAGGCTGGTCTTGAACTCACTATGTAGCCCAGGCTGGCCTGGAGCTTGCGGCAGTCCTTCTGCCTCAGCCTACCTCCCAGGTCCTGGGCAGCTCTCCTTGCATCTGGTGCCAAGACAGAGGTGCTGGGTGAAGAGCCAGCGTGTCCCAGCCCCTACCAGATGCCTACTTCACAGAGCCCTTCAGAGTTGTCTGGTGTCTGGGAGGGAGCTGTTGTTCCGCCTGGACTGAGTCTCCAGGCCTGGCTGGACACTCCGAGCCCAGGGGCCAGGCTTCTGGATCTGCCTCTGCGTTTGTGATCTCATTCATAGCCCCATTTAGAGATGAAGAAATGAACCAAAGCTCAGCGAGGGCAAGCCATTTTGCTGAAGTAACATGGCGGGCGGGTATGTACATTCATTCAGCAAGTATTCACTGTGATGGGCTGCGTTGCCCTAGGCTCTGGGACATAGTGGCACCCTCATGGAGTTCACATTCCAGTAGGGGGTGGGAACAAACCATAGCAGACATAGGACTTCGGGTGGTGATAAGTGCTGTTGGGGAAAGTAGAAACTCTGAGGAGTGAGGGGCTGAAGGGACATGGGCTGCTCAGGAGAGGGAACAGAGAACCCTGAGAGAAACGCAGGGAGCTGGGCAAGGGTGTCCTGGGGGACGGACAGCAAGGACAAAGGCTCTGGGGCGGGAGCATGCCTGTGTTTTCTAGGAACAGCCTGGAAGGAGTGGAGTGAGCAAGGGCGAAACAGGAGTGACGCGATCCAGCTGTTTGGGCCCTGTAGGCCACAGAGAGGATCTTGGCTCTCACTGCAGGCAGTAGGAAGCCCTGGGACGTTGTAAACCAGGATGTGACCAATGCAGTTGTACTGACAGGAAGCTGAGAACTAGTGACATCGTGGCTGGGGAAGAGAGCAGGCTGCAGGTCCCAAGACTACTTGTCCCCACATGACAGTTGAACGTGTGAAGCTGGGAGGCAGCTAAGAAGAAGCACATGTTGAGAGCCAGCATTTTCTCTGTTGGCCTTGGTGGTCCTCCTCCCTGAGCAGGAGGGATGCCAGGCCTGGGGCCAGCAGCATCCAGCAGTCATGAGCAGACCGTGTGGGTTGACACTGCCCTAGGTGCTAGGGAGCCAACATCCCATCCACTTATATTCTGGTGGGGGCAGGTGGCACCAGGTAGACACATGTCTGGTGATGGTGGAGGGTAGGCAGGAGCAGGGGAGCCATCCTACATTTATGTCTTTGTGTGTGCACATCCCTTCCAGGGCCATGCCTCCCTGTCAGAATAAGCAGAGGGGACCCACTTCCAGCCGCCCCTTCCAGCCAGAGGTGATATTCAGGGCACCTCAGACCAGCCCCCAAGCCTGAGTCCTGAGTCGGGCTTTCAGTGGAGCTTTCTAAACCTTGAAAGACATCAAAGTTTTAACCCTGGCTCTGTCACATCCTGTCAAAGGCGTGTCACCTGTCTGAGTCTTTTTGGTACTGGGGATCGAACTTGGGCCTTTGCACTTGCAAGGCAGGCGGTGGGACCACTGAGCTAAATCCCCAGCCCTTTGAGTCTTGATTTTACATCTGTAAAATGGGTCAACAACCCAGGCCTCTGATATTGCCACCACCATGAGGTCAGGAATTTTCATTGGTTCGTTCACTATGGTGTCCTTAGCACCTTAAAAAGTGCTTTGCAGGTGAGCACAGTGGCACATGCCTGTAATCCCAGTTACTTTGGAGATTGAGTCAGGAGAATCACGAATTTGAGGCCACCTTGGGCAGCTTAGCAAGACTTTGTCTCAGAAAGGGCTGGGATGCTGAGGATACGGCTCAGTGGTAGAGCACCTGCCTAGCATGTGTAAGGCCCTGGGTTCTATCCTCTTTACCACCCACTCCCCCCCAAAAAACCCTCACATTTTGTGTGTGTGTGTGTGTGTGTGTGTGAGAGAGAGAGAGAGAGAGA